CCCAACCTAGTACTCATTGGTCGGCTGTAACTGACCATTAGGAGAGGAGTTTCTAGATCACTTCCCACCTTTTATAGAGTTGAGGAGAGGAGCAGGTTCTGTAGTACTGCCCGAGGGTGACAACACCTCTCCTCCATAGAAACAGTCTGTTGAGTAAATGTTGTCATTGTAGGACAGGAAGCGCGCTACTGGCAGGATCACCAGGGGAAAATAAAGTCAATTAAAAGATAAAACTAAAGCAGCCGCCACATCTGAGGACTGGAAGCTGCAATGTATGACATTGTTATCCTTGGGTTTGGATACACTTGGTTATGATCAGAAGCCGCCGTGCACCTGCAAAGGGTTGACGTGGGGGCACTCGGCTAATGACTGCTGAACGTGGTCCTCGTCAGAACATCTTTCAGACGTTTGCGGTCCTTTTGGCGTTCCTCATTTCGGAGAATAAAAGATTAAAAAGAATATGAATAATCATGGTGTCGGCGTGTAGCACTGCGGTGAATACGGATTTACTTTCCTGCTCGCTGGCGGTTTGCGGTGCAGTCAATGAACATTTATAAGGACTGTTGGTCTGGCGTTAGCTGCGGATTCTGCCGGTTGCCTGGCGACTGGAAACACCACCCCACTGCTCACATATACAGGGAAGGGGCCGCGGTGCAATGAGCGGCGCTGGAATAAGGAAAGGTGATCGCTGGTGTGACGGCATTCTACATGCTGAAGTTTAATCTGCATACATTTTGCCCTCAAAGTGAAATCAGAGGAAGCCATTTCAGTGCAGGAGAGGAGCCGGTACAACTGTGCAAGACTGAAGGAAAGGCCGGAGGACGGATAGAAGAATGAAGGGGAAGGCTGGAGGTCAGGTAGAAGACTGAAGGGGAGGTCTGATTGGAGGCTGGAGGTCAGATAAAAGACTGAAGTGGAGGTCATATAGAAGACTGAAGGGGAGGTCAGATAGAAGACTGAAGGGGAGGCCAGAGGTCAGATAGAAGGCTGAAGGGGAGGACGGAGGTCAGATAGAAGACTGAAGGAGAGGTCATATAGAAGACTGAAGGGGAGGCCGGAGGTCAGATAGAAGACTGAAGGGGAGTTCTGTGATCTGTGCAGCAGTACTGTAAGCCCCGGCAGCTGTGATCGCGCCTTTCAACCCTGAAAAGGGGCAACATCTAGTTGACGAGCAGAATTTCTTCAGAGGACAGCACCGGATCGGAGGGAAGTATTGCTGCAAAAGTTCCATTTATTGTAAAGTCATCACCCAGGACGGACATTATTTTTAATGCAAATAACAAAGTATGACAGAAAGCACTTTTCTTCTACAATGCAGTGTCAGCCGGATGCAGGAGGTAGTAGGGGTAGATGGCTGTGTGCTGCTATGGATTTATTTATAACAGGATGGTAGTAAAAGTGCTTTTATTCTCACTGAACCCCAGTAAAGTGTGGTGCAGTTAGTTATTGCCGCCCTGCGAATGACGATCTCCCTGGTTCAGTAATGTCATCAATGTGCTTTAAGGAGCAATGCTGCCACCTTGTGGTCACAATACAGTACTGCGTCTCCATTCCACTGCCCCCTGTCACATCCCCACACTCCTCCTCTCCTGTACATACTGCCCCCTGTCACATCCCCCACACTCCTCTCCTGTACATACTGCCCCCTGTCATACCCCCCACACTCCTCTCCTGTACATACTGCCAAGTTCATGAGAATCACCAGCAGAGGGAGCCAGACACCACCAGGCAATGAAAACTTTCCCATTTCTACAGTGAGATTTGGCAAAGTAACGAGAAATTTCCTATTGATTTGTGATTGCATTTTTCTATTTCTGTTATTGTATTTAAATTGCGGTATGAAGGTTTCCCACTTCAAGGAGTAATGCGATCAGTGCGCAGTCCCTATGCCGACCTTCCTAAAGTAGATGGAAATGACAATCAATGACATTCAGGGGGTTATTCACAAACCTGCCAGAGGCAGCCGAGTGAATAACCCGGCCGAAGTGAGGTGAGGTGAACGCTGTTCGGCTAATCGCTTCGGCTTGTACGGCGGCAATCAGCCGAACATCGGCTCTGTGCTCTGCGCTCTGCATGTTGGGCTGAGCCTTAGGCCCGATTCACACCTGGGCGTTTTGTAGCGCGTTCGAACGCTCTGCAAAACGCTCAAACACCGAAATCCCAATATTTCCTATGGGTATGGTTCACACCTGGGCGTATTATAGGCCGTATGAACGCGCTACAAAGCGTCCTACGCCCAAAGAAGTACTGGAGCTTCTTTGGGGCGTTTTTGTCGCGCGTTTCCATTAGGATACAGCCAAGTAGCCCTCGGAAACGCGCGTTTGTCGCATGTTTTTTTTACCGCGAATCGCGCGACAAACCAGCATATTCGATACGCCTAGGTGTGAACCCAGCCTAAGTGCAGGAGGACTTCATCTCAGCCGATCCAGCATCTGGATGGGCTGAGCCGACGCTCCGGCACCTCACTCGCTGCCGTTCATCCACATTCTCATAGGGGCCTAACGGTAGCGATTGCATAGCCGAATGCCGCCGAGCGAGATTTGGCTCGGCTATTCTGCTCTGTACCGCCGATGTACCGAGCAGAATCGAAAATAAGTGTAAAGAATGTGAAAAAAAATTTAAAAAGTTGCAACATAATTTTAAAAATGATACAAAATAGGAAACTTAAAAGAAAAGAAAAATATTTTAAAGAAAAGAAAAATAAATAGATTTAAAAAAACAATTGGGCGGAGCAAGCGGTGACAGCTAGCTCCCCCCAACTGTTTCTTATTTGTCGACACCTGCCAGTCTTCAAGCAGGTCGTGGCCAATGAATAACAACTGGGCGGAGCCTGCTGTGATGTCACGGCCGGCTCCACTCAGTTGTTATTGTTTAATGACAGATCAGCGTCCCCAGGTAATTTGGGGACGCTGGTGTGTCATTACAACGGGGCGGAGCCAGCCGTGAGATCTCGGCTGGCTCCGGCCAGCTGTCACGACAGGCTGTTCTCCCCGCTTTGGCTGTCACTTCGGCTCGGTCGAGCCGAAGCATATGCCTTCGGCTCGGCTGAGTCACTCGGCCGCCTTCGGCTGCTGTACGGGCTATTCACTGAACCGAAGGGCCAAAGAGAGCCGAAGGATCAGCCGCAGCCATGTCTGGATCCTTCGGCTCTTTAGTGAGTAACCCCCTTAGTTTGCTCCGTGCCTCAGAACCAATTGTCATTTAAAAATAAAATGCTTTGTTGCATCTCGAGCAGCGATCACAAGTGCAAACGCAACAACATTTTGGGGCATCGGCTGCTCTTATTGAGTCACCTGTGGCCCGCCTTACCCTGGGCGTGTGGGTTCCACACCTACCAACCCTTCCAGCCGCTGCTTTGCTACTATAATTATCCCTTAGGAAGGAAAAAGGAACGTGAGGAAGATAATCCGATAATGGAGCCTGCCCATTGGCTGGGGCAGGATTGAGAAATTGCATGTTCCTCGCACACCCCATCCCGATTAGAGGTGGTGACACGCTTACTATAAAATTCATTACGGGTTCCCAAAGAGCAGAATGCAATGAAGAAGAATCCTCACGCCCAGCCGGGCACCGGGACTGGTTTGCCGGTGAAATCTCCTAATTGTCTAAGCTGCTCGAGTGATTTTATTGGTTTAGGCGTCACATGGACCTCGAGCGAC